AGTGGCCGGGAGCAGCCACTGCACTCCAGTCTGGGTGACAGAGTGAGACTCCAACTCAAACAACAACAATAACAACAACAACAAAAAAACCCCACAAGGCTGGGCGTGGTGGCTCAGCCTGTAATCCTAGCAATTTGGAAGGCCAAGGCGAGAGGATTGCCTGAGCACAGGGGTTTGAGATCAGCCTGGGCAACTTGATGACACCTCGTCTCCACAATAAATCAAAAAATAAGCTGGGCATGATGGCGTGTGCCTGTAGTTCCAGCTACTTGGAAGGCTGAGGCAGAAGAATCAACTGAGCCCAGCAAGTCAAGGCTAGAGTGGTTGTGAGTATGCCACTGCACTCCAGGCGGGCAACAAGAGTGAGACTCCAACTCAAAAAAATGACTTTTATCTTATTGGGAAACAACATTAACTAAAGCACTTTGGGGTCTGAAGTCTTACCTCTGAAGCCTCAAGCTACCTGATGCCACCTTCCAATCACAACTTCTCCCTCCTCCTCTCTTGTCACTTTGCTATCTCCCCTGTTCTTGGTGTTCATCAGGATGTCCATCCTTTGACCCTTCCAAGATGCCCTAACCCATTGTCCCCTTGCCTTTATTTTTTTCCCCTGTTCAACCTGGATACCACTGCTTGTCCCCTCAACCCCTCTGTGGTCAACATCTTGATTTGCTTTTTCCATCACAACCTTCTAAAATAATCTCAATCTTGAGTCAACCCTTCCCATCTGGGCCTTCTCTGACCCTGACTATTGAGCACAGCTGCAAAAAGTTATCCAATGCCTGGGCATGGTGGCTCACACCTGTGATCTCAGCACTTTGGAAGGCCCAGGCAGGAGGATCGCTTGAGGCCAGAAGTTCAAGACCAGCTTGGACAACAAAGCAAGACCCCGTCTCTACAAAAAACAACAACAACAACAAAAAACTAGCCAGGTGTAGTGGAACATGCCTGTAAATCCCAGCTACTCGGAGGCTAAGGTAGGAGGATCCCCTGAGCTCAGGAGGTCGAGGCTGCAGTGAGCTGTGATTGTGCCACTGGACTCCAGTCTGGGTGACAGAGTGAAAGCCTGTCTCAGAAAAAAAAAAAGTTTTCCATTCACATAGATGGGTGACTCCACACCCTCATGCTGCTTGATCCTTTTTCATTCTCCAGTGTGGTCTCTTCCATTTCCTGAAGTGACCACATCAAGTCATCACTTCTCCGCAGACAAACTCACTTCCTACTCAACAGAAAAGATTGAAGGCTATCAAGAGGGGAGAGGCCCCAGCACTTTGCTCCCTCTACTACCCGATGCCCTTGTAGGGAGTGTAATTCTCCCCGGGCTCAGGAAATCATCCCCTCCTCTGTCCTCTATGTCTTAGTCAAATATCTCACTCTCGCTCCAAAGCCTCCAACTACTCCCTCTTTTTTCACCTCCTAGAGGCTTTCTCTGATTCTGGGTTCACTCTTTCTAGTTCCCACCTTGCTCCTTTTTTTCTTTTCTTTTTTTTTTGAGTCGGAGTCTCACTCTGTTACCCAGGGTGGAGGGCAGTGGCACACTCATGGCCACTGCAGCCTCAACCTGCTGGGCTCAGGAAATTCTTCTACCTCAGCCTTCCAAGTAACTAGAACTACAGGCGCGTGCCACCACACCCAGCTAATTTTTTGGTTTATTGTAGCAATAAGGACTCACCAAGCTTTCCAGGCTGGTCTCGAACCCATGGGCTCAGGCAATCCTCTCACCTCCGCCTCCCAAAGTGCTGGGATTACAGGCATGAGCCACCGTGCCTGGTCCACTCCTTTCCGTGGCCAAGTTTCTTGAAAGAGAGTTCTATTGGATAGTCCCTACTTCCTGTTTTCCCATTCACTCCCACAGCAACTCATTTATTTATTTGTTTGTTTATTTGTTTGTTTGTTTTTGAGTCTGAGTCTCACTCTGTTGCCCAGGCAGCTACTGCAGTCTTAACCTACTAGGTTCAGGTGATCCTTCCAGCTCAGTCTCCCGAGTGACTGGAACCACAGGCATGCATCACCATGCCAAGTTAATTTTTTTTTGGCGGGGGGGTTATTGCAGTGACTGGAGTGCTGGGATTACAGGCGTGAGCCACCTTGCCAGGCTCCACATCAACTCTTTACAAATCTGTATTTCATTAGGTGTGAACTGCTTGAGGGCAGAGACTGTTTTCTTCAGTTCTGTGCCTCTGGGACTTGGGATCATCATATCTGGCAAATAGAAGGCACACACTGTTTTTTAAGTGCAAGAGAGAGAGAGAGAGAGAGAGAGAGTTTTTATAGAAACAAGGTCTCACTATGTTGCCCAGGCTGGTCTTGAACCTCTGGCCTCAAGTGATCTCCTGCTTTGGCCTCACAAAGTGCTGTGATTACAGGCATGAGTCACTGTGACTGGCCAAGAATGTATTAATATTTGAATCTCACAAATGCCTGGGTATCAGATAAGGCATGGATTACTAGTCCATGGATTATTATTGTTATACAAGAAAACAAACTGAAGTGACTAAATCACTAATTATTTACCCAGGAGGGACTTTCTAAGTTGCACATGCTATCACAGGTTGCTTATATTACTAGAAAAAGAGAAAAGAATAAGAAACTGTGCATCAAACTAAATGTCCCACGTGGTGATCATAGTAGTCCTGGGAGGGGGCATTCCCGTGCCAGCTTTCTAGGAGGGAAACTGAGGCTTGAGGTAAAGACACCTGCACAAGGTTGGGCACCATAGGAGCCAGAATTCAGACACAGTCCTCAGAGCCAGTACGCCTTCTCTTTCCCCTTGACCATGGCACTTGGTCTCCTGCCTCCACGACCCACAGGCACACATGGCAGGACAGGAGACATTACAGCATGCCCAGCATCGAACAGGCAGTCTCTGTACCTCCTTGTGGGCAACCATTTCTGCCTTCAAATGCCATAGCCATCACTTGTCAACCTTTTGCTTTGTGAGTCACAAACCCCTGTGAGTCCTCCCTTTAGGAAAGTGCACATAAGCATAACCAATCCAAGTGTTGGCGGGCCTATGAACAGCCAGAGTCCCAAGACCTCTACAACTCCCTAGGCTGTGTGCCCTTCGGGAGAACCCTGCTCTCAGAAGAGTTTGCTATCTTCCTTTCCAAGATCCCACTCAAAGCCAGGCATGGGGGCTCACACCTGTAATCTCAGGCAATAGGATTGCCTGAGCCCAGAGGTTCAAGACCAGCCTGGACAACTTGGCGAGACCTCATCTCTACAATAAATCAAAAAATTAGCCAGGCACGGTGGCATGTGCCTATAGTTCCAGCTACTTGGGAGGCTGAGGTGGCAGGATTGCCTGAGCCCAGCAGGTCGAGGCTAGGGTGGCATGAGCATGCCACTGCACTCCAGCCTGGGAGACAGAATGAGACTCCTACTCAAAAAAAAAAAAAAAAAAAATTCCACTCGTCCCCAAAGACCTCTCTCTGGCACTGTTTTTTGTGGTACCTCCACTGTGAAGTAACTGTTCCCTCGGGTTCCATAGGTGATTGCTGGCTTCTTTCGGCTGACCCACAGGTTATCTGAAATTACGATGTAGTCCACTCCAGAGAAGAATCGGTTCTTTTCTTTTTCAACAAGTTCCTCCAGGCCAACAGAACCGGCTTCTTCCATCCCTTCGATGATGAATTTGATATTCACAGGGAGATCCTGAGTTAACAACAAAACAAAACAATTATGCAACTTGTCCATGTACTTCATACTTTTCAAGATCCAGGATTTTGGCTAGACATAGTGGCTTACACCTGTAAACCCAGCACTTTGGGAGGCTGAGGTGGGAGCATCATTTGAGGCCAGCCTGGGCAACAGAGCTAGAACTCATCTCTACAAAAAAATAAAATAAAATAGACTGGGTGCGGTGGCTCACACCTATAATCCCAGCACTTTGAGAGGCCGAAGTAAGAGGATTGACTGAGTCTACGGGTTCGGGACCAGTCTGGGCAACTTGGTGAGACCTTGTCTCTACAATAAGTCAAAAAATTAGCCGGGAATGGTGGCACATGCCTGTAGTTCCAGCTACTTGGAAGGCTGAAGTGGAAGGACCACCTGAGCCCAGCAGGTTAAGGCTGTGGTGGCTGTAAGCATGCTACTGAAATCCAACCTGGACAACAGAGCAAGACTCCTACTCAAAAAAAAAAAAAAAAAAGCTAGGCGTGGTGGTGCATGCATGTAGTCCCAGCTACTTGGGAGGCTAAGATGGGAGGATTGCTTGAGCCCAGGAATTCAAGGCTGCACTCCAGCCTGGGCCACAGAGCAAAATACTGTCTAAAAAAAAAAGAGAGAGATCCAGAATTTGTTTGTATTTAACATAAATATATTAAATTGTTATTCAATGTATGAATTTATATTCCCAACAGTTCTGTTTATAGCGATGGAGTCTTAATGAACATTGCAATGGAGAATTCAAGGTATTGCCCGGTGTGTAGACTCCAACACAATCCCTCAATTTAATGTTATTGGGGGAATAGCTGGGCGCGATGGCTCGTGCCTGGAATCCTAGCCCTTTGGGAGGCCGAGGCGAAAGAATTGCTTGAGTTCAGGAGCTTGAGACCAACCTGGGCAACATAGTAAGACCTAGTCTTTATAAAAAATTTTTAAAATTAGCCAGGTGTAGTGGTGTGTGCCTGCAGTCCCAACTGCTTAGGAGGAAGGCTGAGGCAGAAGGATCATGTGAGCCTGGGAGGTTGAAGCTGCAGTGAACTGTGATCGTGCCATGGCACTCCAGCCTGAGCAACAGAGTGAGAGTCCAACCCCCCGCAAAAAAGAATTTTTTTTTTGAGTAGGAGTCTAGGAATCTCATGCTCCCAGCCAGGGCAGCCTCAACCTGCTGGGCTCGGGTGATCCTTCCACCTCAACCTTCCAAGTACCTGGAACTACAGGCACACCCCATCATGCCCAGCTAATTTTTTGATTTATTGTACAGATGGGGTCTCACCAAGTTGCCCAGGTTGGTTTCAAACACGTGAGCTCAGGCGATCCTCTCACCTCAGCCTCCCAAAGTGCTGGGATTATAGGCATGAGCCACTGCATTCAGCCTGAAAAAACAATTTTTAAACTACAGAGCTTTCCATGCAGAGACAGAGGGAGACATTTTTCTCCTTCTCCCCAAAAGGAATTGTTCAAGAAAGGTTATGCAATTACAGATCACTTTTCTGTTCTTATAATTCTGAGCATGATGAAGGAGAGCTTTTCCCTTTGAAAGATTGTTAAGCCTCAGGATCATTTTTACTTCAAGTATCTGTTATTTTTCAACTATGATTTCAATCTGCCTTTTAACTTATTCAAAGGCTTTGATCTTGCAGCGAAATGGGACTTGAGTTTTTCTCTTGTTAATATTAGGGCGTAGAATGACTCCTTTAAAATTTTTACAACATGACTCTTCCTCCATTTGGTTTTGATCTTTTTGTATCTTTATAATTTATGGCTTCATCTCTTTGAGAACCACATTAAGAGGAGAGGTCAAAGCCTTGTCCCTAGGGCACAGGACTCATGCAAAACTGTAAAAGTGATTCCATGCAATCAAACGACCACAGCATCAACATGCTAATCAGTTCTAGAAAGTGGAATTGACTCACCACAGATTAACACATGCAAGATGAGTAGAGGATTATGTATTTGAAAATAATAAATTATGCAATAATTAAAATTAGAAAATTAGAAAACCAGTCATCCAGTTGGTTAAGGGCGTTTTGGGATAATAATTTATTCAAAGGTATAACTTGCATTTCCATGTGTATTAAGAAGTCAAGATAGCATTCTAAAATCTTAATATTCAAAAGTTGTGTATTAACACTTCACCAGCAAATAATCGCTAAGAAGTAGCTGGAAATCTGAAAACTTTTCTGGGAAATCATGCTTAATAAAATACAAACCTGTCCAGGTATGGTGGCTCACTCCTATAATCCCAGCACTTTGAGAGGCAGAGGGCAGGCGGATTGCTTGAAATCAGAAGTTTGAGACCAGCCTGGGCAATATAGCAAGACCTCGTCTCTACAGAAAATTTTAAAAATTAGCTGAGCACTGTGGCACGTGCCAGTAGTGGTCCAAGCTACTTGGGAGGCTGAGGTTGGAGGATCACTTGAGTCTAGGAGGCTGAGGCTATGATGAGCAGTGACTATGCCACTGCACTCTAACCTAGGCAACAGAGCAAGACCCAGACTAAAAAAAAAAATCTCGGAGTACCTGCATGATCAATGTTTGTATACCTAACCCTGAATTGTACCCCACATCTTTACCATAAAAATTAAAAAATAAAACAAAACTCATAGCCAAGTGTCAAGGACGACTATACCAGCAGCCAGACCTGCCAAGTCACTTCAGTAGCTCACAGGTCTCTATCTGTAAAATACAGCTATTGGCCTGGTGCAGTGGCGCATGCCTATGATCCCAGCACTTTGGGAGGCCGAAGCGAGAGGGTTGCCTGAGCCCACGGGTTCGAGACCAGCCTGGGCAACTTGGCGAGACCTCATCTCTACAATAAATAAAAAAATTAGCAGGGCATGGTGGCACCTACCTGTAGTTCCAGCTACTTGGAAGGCTGAGGTGGAAGGATCGCCTGAGCCCAGCAGGTCGAGGCTGTGGTAGTCGGGAGCATGCCTCTGTCCTCCAGCCTGAGTGACAGAGTGAGACTCCAACTCAAAAGAAAAAAAAAATACGGATATTGATACTTTCTCTGCCTTATTAACAAAATAATCCAGTGTCTAACAATGTGTGTCTAAGTGCTCTGTAGACAAAACAGGAAGGGAGGAAGGGAGGAGGGGTGGAAAGAAGAATGAAACCTTCATGAAGGATCTAGTATCAGAGTACCTGAGGTGATGTTTCTTCCAGACCCAACAAGCCTGGGAGGTAGACCTTATTCCTAGTTGACATATGAGAAAAATGAGACTCAGAGACATTAGCTGACTTGTCTGAGGGCAGTGAATATTTCTTATGTGTTGTTTGTTATCATGTTGAATTCAGAGTTGAAATTTGAAAAGTAAGGCAGATTTTGGCCTTTTTTGTGGGAACTATCTTATACATATTACTTAGAAAAAAAGAGAGAGCCAGGTGCGGCGGCTCACGCCTTTAATCCCAGCACTTTGGGAAGCCGAGGTAAGAGGATTGCCTGAGCCCAGAGGTTTGAGACCAGCCCGGGCAACAAGGCCAGACCTCCTCTCTACACAAATCATAAAAATTAGCTGGGCATGGTGGCGCATGCCTGTACTGAAACGAAAGAATCACCTGAAACCAGCAGGTCGAGGCTGCAATGGCCGTGAACGTGCCACTGCACTCCAGCCAGGGTGAATAAAAGTAAGACTCCGACAACCCCGGTCTGATTTATTGAGCTTGTCTTTCTCTGAGATAAAGAGGTGAAGTCAGCCGGGCTCGGTGGCTCAACCTGTAATCCCGCTTCTTGGGAGGCTGAGGTGAGTGGATTGCCTGAGCCCGTGGGTTCGAGACCAGCCTGGGCAACTTGGTGAAACCTCATCTCTACAATAAATCAAAAATCAGCCGGGCGTGGT